AAATTTGTAGAAGAACGACATTAGGCCCCTCTTTTATTTGAAATAAAATCCACAAGAATCGATGAGTTGATGCCGAAATGGAAATCTAAGGGTCACCAATCTACATGACAAAGAAGAGAGCAGAACATGGTTTTGTTTCTCACCAGCAATTGTTCATTTAATGGTCTCAAATTATTGCTATTGCTGAGAAATACCAAGTAGGCCTAGTTGTTCAAAGAGAAGAAAGGAAGAACCTTATCTTCATTTATATTCAAACTTAGCTTCTTCATCCACAAATTTTAGGCCCCATACCAACTTGGCCAACAGGTATCAGCACATGGCTTTGCCTAACAAACTTATCAGCTCCTCTTGTATAAATAAGCCCTCTTTCATGAACCTTTTCATCATCAAGCACAAGCATTATTAATTCAGCCATCAAAAGTCTCTCTTATTTACTTTCTTTTTCCTAATCTTCCAAACAAAAAAAATGGCACTAATCAGTACTAAGAAACTCATCAGAATGGTTAGGAAATGGCAGAAGTTTGCAGCTATGCAGAGGAAGAGGATTTCATTTTCAAGAAATGGCAGTGATGCAGATGATTGTAGTACGTCTTCATCATCTATAGTTGAAAAAGGACATTTTGTAGTATATACAATTGATCAAAAGCGCTTCATGATTCCCTTGGTTTATCTTGAAAGTGAGATCATTAGGCAACTTTTGAACATGTCTGAAGAAGAATTTGGTCTTCTGAGTGGTGGTCCTATTACATTACCTTGTGATTCAGCCTTCATGGACTATATCATTTCGCTAATAAGGAAAGGCGTAACTGCAGGAGATTTTCATAAAGCATTGCTCCTATCAATTCCTTCATGTTGTTGTTCGACTTCTTCTTTGCACCAAGAAAGTGGAAACCAACAGCTTCTTGTTTGTTGAGTCATAATCAACATTTAGCATAAAGTTGTTTTAGATAGGACATAGAATGAAGAACACAATTGTAAAGCGCATCATACAGGTTGAATATATTATTTTATCAGAAAATTTACCACATCCATGGCTTTCACTTTTCAATTTGGTTATTAGAAGTCCTAACAATCTGTATCTATTATGTTCTAATCACGTCCGTTTATCTTTCAACTGAAAGAAGAAGTTGTCTAAAACTAGTACACTTGCTAAATCTCGCTTTTACCCCAACACAGTCATACAAATCTTTAACTAATAAAAGGGCAATTGACAAAAACCAGAAGTAATGTTAAGTGTAACAACAAATACAGCAACTAAATCTTAGTCTTATCTAATCAGTATTACATTATACGGATCCTTTGCGTTCATTCCAAGAGATTGTTGGTATTTTGAGCGCTTCATGTGATATATGGTCTAACTCGTTCTGTCTTACTACTGTCCATCATCATACTGTTGCACCTATGGATCAGTGCATCTGAAGGTCTGGGTAGGATATGATGGATTGTATCTAATGACCGTCATATTATCATCTATAGTTGCACCACAAGGTGAAGTACAACGGAGAATTTCAAATGATAAAGGGAATTCTTTAAGCAAATATTACTAAAATGGAGATTAATCAAAAGTTGAACATTTTCTATTCATAAAAAATTATAGGAAATAGTAGCACACAACTAACAGCTGAAGCAGAATTCGTCGCAGCAGCAGCTACTGTTAATCAAGCACTATGGCTTAGGAAATTTGATCAATTTTCAGCTGGAGCAAGAAGAAAGCACTGAGATCCTTGTGGTTATTCAAGCTGTCATAGCCATATCCAAAGATCATGTGTTTCATGGAAGGACCAAGCACTTCAACATCAAGTTTTATTTCTTGAGGGAAGTGTAGTAAAACGGTGAAGTGGTTTTACTCTATTGCGAATCAGAAAATCAAGTGGCCCACATTTTTACCAAGTCATTTCATGTTAGCTGATTCAAATTTCTTAGAGAAAAATTGGGAGTTCATCTTTCTATTTTAGTATTAAACAACAACAAGAAACAAATAATCTTGAAAAATGCACAGAAAAGGAAATATTTTGGCACTGTACATGTTATGGCAAGTCTCACATCCAAAACTTTAGTAGTCGAGACTCGAGAAATTTAGATGGAGCTGGTGAGAAACAACTCAAATGACATTCTTATTCCGCTAAATGATACTTTCTTCGATGTGCTAGTTTGTGCCACACAGTGTAACTGTTGCAAACTGGGGCTTAATTATTTTGTTTACGATGGAATTGTTTTAGCAAATACTACCAAAATAGTGATTATTAGAATCAGCACTTTTGCTATTCATAAATTGATCATCGAAGAAATTTTCTAGTTCCTTGTGTTTCTGAACTATACAGTGGATTTTACTCTTTCTAATATCTAAGTCCTACTACTACTTTACAAAATTTCATGTGCAAGAGAATTTGCACTTTGATATAATTCATGATCTCAAGCGGGATGTGAGATCAACAAACACATCTTCTTTGCAAGGTATTGTGAGACCGCCCATTGGATGATCGAAGCCAAACTGTTCTTCAGCTTGAGTTAACAAGTCTTGAAATAAAGGCTGGCTCAAGTAAGATATTGGCACAACGAACCTCTTCTTCAGGCTCTCTCCTACATATACTGCACAATGTCCTTTTGGAACACCTCCGGAATTTGAAAACCTCCTCAAGATTCTAGTACCTTGTATAAGGGGACTCATTTTGATACCCATGGTGAGATACTTTTGTAACTTCAAATGATGACTTTAAATGAAAAAGACTGAAGGATTTTGAGTAATACACAGCTAGTGAGACTTGTGTTTTGCATAAAAAACTTTCTACATATACAAAGTTAGTGGTAAATTTCATATCCAAGTTTAATGGTGAAGAGGATTTGGTGGCCACTGTTGAGAGACAATAGCACATGAAGCTTCACATGGCTTTGCTTACCCTGTTATTGTAAAGTATTCAGACAATAAATTTGTTGAAAAACAACATAAGGCCCCAATTTTATTTTACAGATACACCTAAAATAAAATCGACAAGGATTGATGAAGTTGATGCCAAGATGGAAATCTTAAGGTCACCTATCTACATGACAAAGGAGAGAGCAGAACATGGTTTTGTTTCTCACCAGCAATTGTTCATTTAATGTTCTCAATATTATTGCCATTGCTGAGAAATACCAAGTAGGCCTAGTTGTTCAAAGAGAAGAAAGGAAGAAACTTATCTTCATTTATATTCAAACTTAGCTTCTTCATCCACAAAAATTTAGGCCCCATACCAACTAGGCCAACAGGCATCAGCACATGGCTTTGCCTAACAAACTTATCAGCTCCTCTTGTATAAATAAGCCCTCTTTCATGAGCCTTTTCATTATCAATTCAGCCATCAAAAGTCTCTCTTATTTACTTTCTTTTTTCCAATCTTCCAAACAAAAAAATGGCAATAATCAGTACTAAGAAACTCATCAAAATGGTTAGGAAATGGCAGAAGTTTGCAGCCATGCAAAGGAAGAGGATTTCATTTCCAAGAAATGGTAGTGATGCAGACAGTTGCAGTACATCAGCATCCTCTATTGTTGAAAAAGGCCATTTTGTATTATATACAATCGATCAAGTACGCTTTGTGATTCCCTTGGCTTATCTTGAAAATGAGTCCATTCAGCAACTTTTAAACATGTCCGAAGAAGAATTTGGGCTGCCGAGTGGTGGTCCTATTACATTACCTTGTGATTCAGCCTTCATGGACTACATCATTTCTCTAGTTAGGCGTAACTGCAGGAGATCTTCACAAAGCATTGCTCCTCTCAATTCCTTCATGTTGCTATTCAACTTCATATTCACACCAAGAAAGTGGAAACCAACTACTTCTTGTTTGTTGAGTTATAATCAACATCTTTTTTAATACATGATAGCTCAAAATAGTTTTTAGATACAGCATAGACTGAAGAACACAATTGTAAAGCACATCATACAGATTGAATATTATTTTATCAGAAAATTTACCATATATATCCACAGCTTTCACTTTTAAATTTGGTTATCAGTAGACTTAACTATCTGATCCTGAATTGGTACCACTTATGTATTAACACCACTGTGTTTATCGCAAGCATTTCACTTACTGTGGTACCTCCTTGATCGAATAAGGTCTAAATGATCAGTCAATCAACTATGCCTAATTTTATGTATATGCATTAGTATGTTCTAATCAGGCTTTGCTGAAGTATCTGCATTAGGGTGGCAGAGATGAGAGACAACGACATCAGATGTACCGCAACGCTTGTCTTCTAAGTTAGCATCCAGTGTGAACATTTTGTAGTATTTTCAGAAGTAATTAGGTAATAAAACACTACGAACAAAAAAATGTCTTAAAATCTAATGGAAGACTCAAGTATGATAATGAAACAACTGCGGACATCCTTAAAATTCGATTAGATTGAATAAGTACAGTCATTTGATAATTCCTCTTCTTTCAAGATATGATTTTTAACTCTAACTGATGTTATAAGAATGAACAAGTAACACATAATCTTGAGAAATGCACAGAAAAGGAAAGTTTTTGCACTGTGTATGAACAAGTTTATGGCAAGTCTTACATCCAAAAGTTTATCCAAATATGCAGAGACTAAACTTGTTGAATAGTAGGCCTCATTGCTTCTCAATTCTCATAACTTGGAATCAAGGACATCCTAAAAAAGCCTCAAGTATAGATAAAGCTGATGACTTGGTTCCGCTACTTAATTTCTTGTTACTTATCACAGATGTCATTCTCATTCCGCTAAAACGATACTTTCTTGGATGTGCTAGTTTCCTCCACACAGTGCAATTCTAAATGAATAACAGCATTGTTTTAGAAAATATAAGCAAAATAGTGATTTTAAGAAAAAGCACTTCTGCTATTCATAAATTGATCATGGAAACAATTTCTATTGATTTTGTGTTTCTGAACTATACATTAAAACATCCTCTTTATATCTCCTATTTCTAATATCTAAGTCTACTACTCTACAAAATTTCATGTGCAAGAGAATTTGCACTTTGATACAATTCATGATCTCAAGCAGGATGTGAGATCAACAAACACGTCCTCTTTGCAAGGTATTGTGAGACCACCCATTGGATGATTGAAGTCAAACTGTTCTTCAGCTTGAGTTAACAAGTCTTGAAATAAAGGCTGGCTCAAGTAAGATATTGGCACGACGAATCTCTTCTTCTGGCTCTCTCCTACATATACTGCACAATGTCCTTTTGGAACACCTCCGGAATTTGAAAACCTCCTCAAGATTCTTGTACCTTGAATAAGGGGACTCATTTTGATACCCATTGCGAGATACTTTTGTAACTTCAAATAATGAGTTAAAAAGAAAAGGAATGAAGGATTTTGAGTAATACACAGCAAGTAAGACTTGTGTTTTGCACAAACAGACTTTCTACGTATGTGTATATATACAAAGTTAGTGGTAAGTTTGATGTCCATGGGGGCCACTGGTGAGAGACAATAGCACATGAAGTTTCACATGGCTTTGCTTACCCTGTTATTGTCAAGTATTCAGATAATGAAGAACAACATTAGGCCCCAATTTTATTTAACGGACCCTTAAAATAAAATCGACCAGGATTGATGAAGTTGATGCCAAGATGGAAATCTAAAGGTCACCTATCTACATGACAAAGAAGAGAGCAGAACATGGTTTTGCTTTTTTCAAGCAATTGTTCATTTAATGGTTTCAAATTATTGGCATCGGTGAGAAGAAACGAAGGAACTTATCATCTTTTATATTCAAACTAGCTTCATCCACAAATTTAAGGCCCCATATGAACATGGCCAACAGGCATCAGCACATGGCTTTGCCTAACAAACTTATCAGCTCCTTTTGTATAAATAAGCCCTCTTTCATGTTCCTTTTCATCATCAAGCACAACCATTATCAGTTCAGCCATCAAAAGTCTCTAAATTTATTATTTACTTTCTTGTTTTCAATCTTCCGGAAAATAAAATGGTGATGATTAGTACCAAGAAATTCATCAAAATGGCTAGGAAATGGCAGAAGTTTGCAGCCATGCAGAGGAAGAGGATTTCATTTCCAAGAAATGTTAGCGATGCAGACAGTTGCAGTACGTCTTCATCGTCTACAGTTGAAAAAGGCCATTTTGTAGTAAATACAGTTGATCAAGCACGATTTGCCATTCCATTGGTTTACCTTGAAAATGAGATCATTAGGCAACTCTTGAACATGTCCGAAGAAGAATTTGGGCTGCCGAGTGGTGGCCCTATTACATTACCTTGTGATTCAGCCTTCATGGACTACATCATTTCGTTAATAAGGAAAGGCGTAACTGCAGGAGATCTTCACACAGCATTGCTCCTCTCAATTCCTTCTTGTTGCTGTTCAACTTCTTCTTTAAACCAAGAATTGGGAAACCAACAGCTTCTTGTTTGTTGAGTCATAAATCATTATTTTTATTACATGCTAGCTCAAAATAGTATTTTAGATAGGGCATAGACTGAAGAACACAATTGTAAAGTGCATCATACAGATTGAATATTATTTTATCAAAAAATTTACCATATATATCCACAGCTTTCAATTTTACATTTCGTTATGAGTAAACTTAACAATCTGATCCTGAATTAACACCACTTTGTTTATCGCAACCATTTCACTTACTGTGGTATGCCTTTGATAGAAGAAGGTCTAAATGATTGGAAGTTTTAAGGAGATCAATCAATCAACTATACCTCCTTTTATGTATATGCATTAGTATGTTCTAATCAGTCTTTGATGAAGTATCTGCATTAGGGCGGCAGAGATGAGAGACAACGGCATCTGAAGTATCGTAGGGATTATCTTCTAAGTTAGCATTTTGTTGTATTTTCAGAAGCAATTAGGTGATAAAACAACTGCAGATGCTGAAGACGTCCTTAAGTGGAGTCATCTCGGTTCTCGTTCTTTCAAGCTATGGATTTTAACTCTCAATGATGATCTAAGAATAAACAAGAAACAAAGAATCTTGAAAAAATGCACAAAAAATGAAATATTTTGTCACTGTACATGTTATGGTAGTCTCACATCCAAAAGTTTAGTAGTCGAGATAAATAAAGTGGAGTTGGTGAGAAACAACTCAAATGGCATTCTTATTCCGCTAAATGATACTTTCTTCGATGTGCTACTTTGTGCCACACAGTGCAACTGTTGCATGCAGGGGGTTAATTAATTTGCTTAGAAGAAATATTCTAAATGAATAACAGAACTGTTTTAGTAAATACTACCAAAATAGTGATTATCAGAACCAGCACTTTTGCATTCATAAATTGATCATTGAAGAAATTTTCTAGTTTCTTGTGTATCTGAACTATACAGTGGATTTTACTCTTTCTAATATCTAAGTCCTACTACTACTTTACAAAATTTCATCTGCAAAATAATTTGCACTTTGATACAGTTCATCGTCTCAAGCGGGATGTGAGATCAACAAACACGTCTTCTTTGCAAGGTATTGTGAGACCACCCATTGGATGATCAAAGCCAAACTGTTCTTCAGCTTGAGTTAACAAGTCTTGAAATAAAGGCTGGCTCAAGTAAGATATTGGCACGACGAATCTCTTTTTCTGGCTCTCTCCTACATATATTGCACAATGACCTTTAGGAACACCTCCGGAATTTGAAAACTTCCTCAAGATTCTAGTACCTTGAATAAGGGGACTCATTTTGATACCCATAGTGAGACTCTTTTATAACTTCAAATGATGACTTGAAAGAAAGAATGAAGGATTCTGAGAATTACACAGCAAGTGAGACTTGTGTTCTGCATAAAAAAACTTTCTATGTGTTTGTATATATACAAAGTTAGTGGTAAATTTCATCTTAAGTTTAATGGTGAAGAGGATTTGGTGGCCACTGGTGAGAGACATTGGCACATGAAGCTTCACATGGTTTTGCTTACTCTATTATTATCAAGTATTCAGACAAGAAATTTGTAGAAGAACGACATAAGGCCCCTCTTTTATTTGAAATAAAATCCACAAGAATCAATGAGTTGATGCCGAGATGGAAATCTAAAGGTCACCAATCTACATGACAAAGAAGAGAGCAGAACATGGTTTTGTTTCTCACCAGCAATTGTTCATTTAATGTTCTCCATATTATTGGCATTGCTGAGAAATGCCAAGTAGGCCTAGTTGATCAAAGAGAAGAAAGGAAGAAACTTATCTTCATTTATATTCAAACGTAGCTTCATCCATAAATTTTAGGCCCCATACCAACATGGTCAGCAGGCATCAGCACATGGCTTTGCCTAACAAACTTATCAGCTCCTCTTGTATTAATAAGCCCTCTTTCATGAGCCTTTTCATCATCAAGCACAAGCATTATCAATTCAGCCATCAAAAGTCTCTCTTATTTACTTTCTTTTTTCCAATCTCCCAAACAAAAAAAATGGCAATAATCAGTACTAAGAAACTCATCAAAATGGTTAGGAAATGGCAGAAGTTTGCAGCCATGCAGAGGAAGAGGATTTCATTTCCAAGAAATGGTAGTGATGCAGACATTTGCAGTACATCCGCATCCTCTATTGTTGAAAAAGGCCATTTTGTATTATATACAATCGATCAAGTACGCTTTGTGATTCCCTTGGCTTATCTTGAAAATGAGTCCATTCAGCAACTTTTAAACATGTCCGAAGAAGAATTTGGGCTGCCGAGTGGTGGTCCTATTACATTACCTTGTGATTCAGCCTTCATGGACTACATCATTTCGCTAGTTAAGAAAGGCGTAACTGCAGGAGATCTTCACAAAGCGTTGCTCCTCTCAATTCCTTCATGTTGCTATTCAACTTCATATTCACACCTAGAAAGTGGAAACCAACTACTTCTTGTTTGTTGAGTTATAATCAACATCTTTTTCAATACATGATAGCTCAAAATAGTTTTTAGATACAGCATAGACTGAAGAACACAATTGTAAAGCACATCATACAGATTGAATATTAATTTATCAGAAAATTTACCGTATATATCCAATTTTTTCACTTTTACATTTGGTTATGAGTAGACTTAACAATCTGATCCTGAATTGGTACCACTTATGTATTAACACCACTTTGTTTATCGCAAGCATTTCACTTACTGTGGTACCTCCTTGATCGAATAAGGTCTAAATGATCAATCAATCAACTATGCCTCCTTTTATGTATGTTCTAATGTGGCTTTGCTGAAGTATCTCACGGCTTGTCTTCTAAGTTAGCATCCAGTGTTAACATTTTGTGGTATTTTCAGAAGCAATTAGGTGATAAAACAGTATGAGCTAACAAGTCTTGAAATCTAAAGGAAGACTCAAGTATGATATTAGAACAACTAAAGATATCCTTAAAATTCGATTAGATTGAATAAGTGAAGTCATTTGACAGTTCCCCTTTTTTCAAGATATAATTTTTAACTCTAACTGATGATCTACGAATAAACAAGAAACACATAATCTTGAGAAATGCACAGAAAAGGAAAGTGTTTGTACTGTGTATGAATAAGTTTATGGCAAATCTTACATCCAAAAGTTTATCCAAATATACAGACACTAAACTTGTTGAATAGTAGCCCACATTGCTTCTCAGTTCTCATAACTTGGAATCAAGGACATCCTAAATTTTAAAGCCTCAAGTATAGATAAAGCTGATGACTTGGTTCCGCTACGTAATTTCTTGTTACTTATCACAGATGTCATTCTCATTCTGCTAAAACGATACTTTCTTGGATGTGCTAGTTTCCTCCACACAGTGCAATTCTAAATGAATAACAGCATTGTATAAGAAAAGATAAGCAAAATAGTGATTATAAGAAAAAGCACTTCTGCTATTCATAAATTGATCATGGAAACAATTTCTATTGATTTTGTGTTTCTGAACTATACATTAAAACATCCTCTTTATATCTCCTATTTCTAATATCTAAGTCTACTACTCTACAAAATTTCATGTGCAAGAGAATTTGCACTTTGATACAATTCATGATCTCAAGCAGGATGTGAGATCAACAAACACGTCCTCTTTGCAAGGTATTGTGAGACCACCCATTGGATGATTGAAGTCAAACTGTTCTTCAGCTTGAGTTAACAAGTCTTGAAATAAAGGCTGGCTCAAGTAAGATATTGGCACGACGAATCTCTTCTTCTGTCTCTCTCCTACATATACTGCACAATGACCTTTTGGAACACCTCTGGAATTTGAAAACCTCCTCAAGATTCTAGTACCTTGAATAAGGGGACTCATTTTGATACCCATTGCGAGATACTTTTGTAATTTCAAATGATGACTTTAAAAAAAAGACTGAAGGATTTTGAGTACACAGCAAGTGAGACTTGTATTTTGCATAAAAAAACTTTCTATGTATGTGTATATATACAAAGTTAGATATCTAAGTTTAATAGCCACAGCCCACAGGTGAGAGACAATGGCACATGAAGTTTCACATGGCTTTGTGGAAGAGAACACTAGGCCCCAATGAAGTTGATGCCAACATGGATATCTACATGACAAAGAAGATAGCAGCAGAACATGGTTTTCTTCTCACCAGCAATTGTTCATTTAATGGTCTCAAATTATTGGCATTGCTGAGAAATACCAAGTTGATCAAAGAATATAAAGGAAGAAACTTATCTTCTTTTATTTTCAAAGTAGCTTCATCCACAAATTTTAGGCCCCATACCAACTTGGCCAACAGGCATCAGCACATGCCTTTGCCTAACAAACCTATCAACTCCTTTTGTATAAATAAGCACTCTTTCATGTTCCTTTTCATCATCAAGCACAACCATTATCAGTTCAGCCATCAAAGGTCTCTAAATTTGTTATTTACTTTCTTGTTTCCAATCTTCCAAACAAAAAAAATGGCAATGATCAGAACCAAGAAACTCATCAAAATGGCTAGGAAATGGCAGAAGTTTGCAGCCATGCAGAGGAAGAGGATTTCATTTCCAAGAAATGTTAGTGATGCAGATGATTGTAGTATGTCTTCATCGTCTATAGTTGAAAAAGGACATTTTGTAGTATACACTGCTGATCAAGCTCGCTTTGTCATTCCATTGGTTTACCTTGAAAATGAGATCATTAGGCAACTTTTGAACATTGCCGAAGAAGAATTTGGGCTGCCGAATGGTGGCCCTATTACATTACCCTGTGATTCAGCCTTCATGGACTACATCATTTTGCTAATAAAGAAAGGCATAACTGCAGGAGATCTTCACAAAGCGTTGCTCCTATCAATTCCTTCTTGCTGTTCGACTTCTTCTTTGCACCAAGAAAGTGGAAACCAACAGCTTCTTGTTTGTTGAGTCATAATCAACATTTTCTTCTTATTACACTCTAGCTTAGATAGGACATAGAATGTAGAACACAATTGTAAAGCGCATCATACAGATTCAATATTATTTTATCAGAGAAGATTTACCATATATCTACAGCTTTCACTTTTACATTTTGTTATGAGAAGACATAACAATCTAATCCTGGATTTCTACCTCTTATCTATTAACACCACTAAGATATCAATTCTTCATTCAAAGGTCCCAAACTGCTATTATTTGTGAGAAGTTCCTCAGTGTTATTAATCAATAGGTCCATTCAGTTGTCAACCAAATGAAGAAAGAAAGGAAGTCAGCAAGACTTTTTCACGAATTTAAGACCCCATATCAATATCCAACAGACATCAGGCTTTGCTGAAGTACCGCGTGGCTTTGTCTTCCAAATTAGTGTCAGCATATTATAAATAAACTAGTTGAACATTATAAGATGTCCAAATTATATTTGTGCAGAAACAATTAGGTGATAAAACAACTGCAGATGCTGAAGACGTCCTTAAGTGGAGTCATATCGATTCTCGTTCTTTCAAGCTATGGTTTTTAACTCTCAATGATGATCTAAGAATAAACAAGAAACAAAGAATCTTTAAAAATGCACATAAAATGAAATATTTTGTCACTGTACATGTTATGGTAAGTCTCACATCCAAAAGTTTAGTAGTCGAGATAAATAAGGTGGAGCTGGTGAGAAAAAACTCAAATGGCATTCTTATTCCGCTAAAGGATACTTTCTTCGATGTGCATGTTCTAAATGAATAACAGAACTGTTTTAGCAAATACTACCAAAATAGTGATTATCAGAACCAGCATTTTTGCTATTCATAAATTGATCATTGATGAAATTTTCTAGTTTCTTGTGTTTTGAACTATACAATGGATTTTACTCTTTCTAATAACTAAGTCCTACTACTACTTTACAAAATTTCATATGCAAAACAATTTGCACTTTGATACAATTCATCGTCTCAAGCGGGATGTGAGATCAACAAACACGTCCTCTTGGCATGGTATTGTGAGACCACCCATCTGATGATTGAAGCCAAACTGTTCTTCAGCTTGAGTTAACAAGTCTTGAAATAAAGGCTGGCTCAAGTATGATATTGGCACGACGAATCTCTTTTTCTGGCTCTCTCCTACATATACTGCACAATGACCTTTAGGAACACCTCCGGAATTTGAAAACCTCCTCAATATTCTAGTACCTTGAATAAGGGGACTCATTTTGATACCCATTGCGAGATACTTTTGTGACTTCAAATGATGACTTAAAAGAGGGAATGAAGGATTTTGAGTAATACACAGCAAGTGAGACTTGTGTTTTGCATAAAAAAGCCTTTCTATGTATGTGTATATATACAAAGTTAGATATCTAAATTTAATGGCCACAGCCCACAGGTCAGAGACAATGGCACATGAAGTTTCACATGTCTTTGTTGAAGAACAACACTAGGCCCCAATGAAGTTGATGCCAAGATGGATCTACATGACAAAGAACAGAACAGAACATGGTTTTGCTTCTCACCCGCAATAGTTCATTTAATAGTCTCAAATTATTGACATTACTGAGAAATACCAAGTAGGCCTAGTTGATCAAAGAATATAAAGGAAGAAACTTAGTAGCTTCATCCACAAATTTTAGGCCCCATACTAACTTGGCCAACAGGCATCAGCACATGGCTTTGCCTAACAAACTTATCAGCTCCTCTTGTATAAATAAGCCCTCTTTCATGAGCCTTTTCATCATCAAGCATAAGCATTATCAATTCAGCCATCAAAAGTCTCTAAATTTCTTGTTTACTTTCTTGTTTCCAATCTACCAAACAAAAAAAATGGCAATGATTAGTACTAAGAAACTCATCAAAATGGTTAGGAAATGGCAGAAGTTTGCAGCTATGCAGAGGAAGAGGATTTCATTTTCAAGAAATGTAAGTGATGCAGATGATTGTAGTACAACTTCATCGTCTATAGTTGAAAAAGGACATTTTGTAGTATACACTGCTGATCAAGCTCGCTTTGTCATTCCATTGGTTTACCTTGAAAATGAAGTCATTAGGCAACTCTTGAACATGTCCGAAGAAGAATTTGGGCTTCCGAGTGGTGGTCCTATTACATTACCTTGTGATTCAGCCTTCATGGACTACATTATTTCGCTAACAAGGAAAGGCGTAACTGCAGGAGATCTTCACAAAGCATTGCTCCTCTCAATTCCTTCATGTTGCTGTTCAACTTCTTTCCACCAAGAAAGTGGAAACCAACAGCTTCTTGTTTGTTGAGTCATAATCAACATTTGTTTTGTTACATTCTAGCTCAATATAGTTTTTAGATAAGGCATAGACTGAAGAACACAATTGTAAAGCGCATCATACAAATTGAATATTATTTAATCAGAAATTTTACCATATATATCCACATCTTTCACTTTTTACATTTGGTTATGAGTAGACTTAACAATCTGATCCTGAATTGTAACAACATTGAAATCAAAACTCACCTATGTTCAACAATATCTATAATTACAAAAATATCCTCCATAAGTATAAAAAGGGTCTGAGGGGATATTTTTGTCATTTTAACTATTTTATTCAAGAATAAGTTATTCCACAATTTAATACAACAAATCAAATATTTACTAAAAGATAATACTAGAGTAACTAATCTTAATATAACTAATCTCAACATAACTAATTTAATCCTAAGTTCCTAACTTGTTATAGATGGACGTAATTAAAGTTTAGTTACTTTAATTTCACAAAATAAATTTAATAATTTTAATACTATATATTGACTTCACTGTTCCAACAAAGTTAATTTCTCCTCAAGTCCAATTCGTGACTACTATAAACCCTAGTATCCAACTGCATTTTTTATTTTTTATTTTTTATTTTAAATAACTCTAACATTCAAATTGTCGAGTTCAATCAAATTTGCAAAGGTAATTAATTTCTTTTACATCTTATTTTCACTAAGGAGATTCAAATATTCATGAAGAAGCAGAATTTGACCATGTATATATATACAATATAATTTTCCAGTGAATAACATTAGAATAACCCCCAAGTGGAGCCACCATTATTTGGTTCGGCAGAATCAAGTAGCTTTGGCTCAAGCCCTGTAATTATGTTACAAATTTGTTTAATATGTAATCTATTCAAAATTCATAAACTAAAAATTCTGAATCCGTAACTCTGACCACTATATTTTTTAATTAATTTGCTGGGAAGAGAGTTGTAAAGCAGCCATAAAGCTAATAGATATTGTTGATCATCAAGTGAGTTTTGATTTCAATGTTGTTACAATTTTGTTTATTGTTGATGGACTATAGTTTCTATAGCTTTCTTCTTTAAAAAATCTCGTATTTGATGGTTCGCGTGGCGATAGACTTTGTTTCTGCTTCTATGTATATGTAGTTAATGTTGAATATTCTTGACTTTTTTTTTGTGTATACTTTTTTTATATTAGTGAAAATTCTGACTCCGCCACTGCTTCCCCGCCATTGGAATGTGTGTGTCCAAAAGATTAATGTCTTTAACTTGTGAAATACTAAAGCACTTGCTTTGTCCTATGTAGGCCATGGAAATTCAATACCAAGAAGGTATAATTATGGACATCCTCATCAGGCCACCCGTGAGGTCTCTTCTTCGATTCAAATGTGTTTCAAAATCTTGGAAGAAGTTAATCTCCGAGTCATACTTTAAGATGAAGCATCTCAGTCATGCCAAGAATGACTTAAACTCCCAAAAACTTCTTGTTTGTGAAAGTTTTGCTTCTGGTTTGTTTAACTTCTTTTGTTTTTCTCTATCGACTGATCAACTCATTCGGGATGCACAAAATTGCCCTTCAAAATGCACACCGTTTGGTGGAGCCAATATTTATTCTTGTTGCGATGGTTTGGTTCTTCTTGGACTTAATTATTCATTTGGTGACCAACTTTTGTTGTGGAACCACTCCACGAGAGAATCAACAAAACTAGCACTTCCCTATACACCATTTAAACTAGAGTATACTACTTTTGGATTTGGATATGACGCAAATAGTGATGACTATAAGATCCTTAAGGTGAACAGGGGTGGTGTAGAACAAGCCCTTGAGATTCTCACGCTAAAAAGTCGTTCGTGGAGAAGTATTTGTAACTTTCCAACTATTGTATGCCCTAAGACAGGATCTCAAATGGAGATTCATCCATATTATCAAGATTTCACTATAAGTCCCGTGGTATTTGTACGTGGAGCATTTCATTGGCTAGGTCATTCGTTTAATTATTCTGTGGTTTCATTTAGTATTTCAAATGAGGTGTACAGAGATATACCATTGCTAGAGCAAATGTGTAGATTTGACCACAAACAAAGCTCCAATTATGGCATTTCGGTATTGGGAGGAATGCTTTGCTTTTATTCTACTGATAATTATCGTCGAGATCAGCCCGTTACTTTTCAGTTGTGGGGAATGAAAGAGTATGGTGATGTGGAATCTTGGACTGAATTGTTTACATTACGTGCTTCTGATTCTTATAATATTACACCGAAATATAGGTATGCAGATGGCGATGTGCTACTAAGGTGTAGCCTTGACTTTCGTAGGCAAAGTTGCTATGGTCATGTATTTAGGACATCCAAAGGACAATTAGTTGGATTATCTGGGTCTCAATCTGCATTCCAGGAAGGAATTGCTTATACAGAAAGTTTGATCTCTCCGAAATCACTTATTTAACATTTGCTTATATATGGTCGAGACATGCTTTTTTTCTTTCTGAAATCATGTAAGGACCTATGTTTATCTATTGTTCGCAAAGTTTTATTAGTTCCGAAATATATTTATCAAAGTTGTCAGCTTACCTTCATTTATATGGTGTTGTTTGGGTCAGCTTATGCTTACCTCAACTATTCTACATAGTACTTGCTACCTTCTTCCAATACAAGTATCGAATAACTTTCCAAACAACGCGTGGAATAGAACAAGATATTAAGTAACTATGTCATCCAAAAATTAGACAGATATATAGACGGAAAGAAATCACTTTTTTTTCTAACATGTCGAAGAATAGCACAAGTTGGAGTCAAGAAAATGATGTATATAAATGTTAACATTCTCTACACTTGTTGAGTATCATATATCCAGTACAAAAATTATCAAAGTTAGATTAACAAACTAGCAATTGCGAGTTTCGTTGTTCTTGAAGGTATGAAGCTGATGAGCATCGACTTGTAGGTACAAAAACAAGCAAAGCATTCTGAAGATCTGCAGATAGACCTCTTTCAATAAGTGATATGATATAGTTCATGAACTGTGCATCACATGGTAATGTGATAGGACCATCACTTGGAAGTCCAAACTCTTCTTCAGACATGTGTAATAGTTGTCTGATTGCCTCGTGTTGAAGGTAAGCCAACGGAACCACAAATCGCTTCTGATCAGTAGTATATACCACAAAATTCCCTTTACCAACTATAGAAGATGATGTGCTGCAACTCTCTGCATCATCGTAATTGGATCTTGGAAAAGAAATTTTTTTCCTTTGTTTTGCTGCGAACTTCTGCCATTTTCTTGCCATCTTGATGAGTTTCTTGGCGCTTATCATATTGATCTCGTAGGATTATAGGACGGAAAAAAAGTTTATGATCTTTTAAAAGATTGATTTAGTGATCGGTATCTGCTTGATGATCAAATGGATCATAGAAGCAGTTTATTTATAGCTCTAGTTGTCAACTTGAGTTAGGTGTTTAAGGCAAAATCATGTGTTGTTGTTGAATATGGGACCAATTGAGTTGTAGACATGGCTCATGTTGATGCTTTTATTCAATTTTCTGTCACCATATCTTTAAATCGAGTGGTCCATGACTAAGTCATCAATTGTTAGGAGTTTCACATAACCAAATGTAAAAGTGAAAGCTGTGGATATGTTAAATTTTCTGATAAAATAATATTCAAACTGTATGATATGCTGTACAATTGTGTACTCTTCAATCTCTATCCTCTCTAAAACTATATTTGAACTAGCATGTACAAAAAGAATGTTTGTTATGACTCAATAAACAGGAATCTGTTGAGTTCCACTTTCTTGGTGCAAAGAAGAAATTGAACAGCAACATGAAGGAATTGATAGGAGCAACGCTTTGTGAAGATCTCCAGCAGTTACGCCTTTCTTGATTAGCAAAATGATGTAGTCCATGAAGGCTGAATCACAGGGTAACGTAATAGGGCCACCACTCGGAAGCCCAAACTCTTCTTCAGACATATTCAAGAGTTGTCTAATGACTTCATTTTCAAGGTAAGCCAATGGAATGACAAATCGTGCTTGATCAGCTGTATATACTACAAAATTTCCTTTTTCAATTATAGACGATGACGATGTACTACAACTGTCTTCATCACTGTCATTTCTTGGAAATGAAATCCTCTTCCTCTTCATGGCTGCAAATTGCTGCCATTTCCTAGCCATTTTGATGAGTTTCTTGGTACTAATCATTGCCATTTTTTTTCCTGAAGATTGGAAACAAGAAAGTAAATAAGAGAGACTTTCGATGGTTGAATTGATAATGCTTGTGCTTGATGATGAAAAGCCTCATGAAAGAGGGATTATTTATACAAGTTGAGCTGATGAGTTTGTTAGGCAAAGGCATGTGCTGATGCCTGTTGACCATGTTCATATGGGGTCTAAAATTTGTGGATGAAGCTAAGTTTGAAAATAAAAGAAGATAAGTTTCTTCTTTTCTAATCTTTTATCAATTAGGCCAACTTGGTATTTCTCAGTAATGCCAATAGTTTGAGACCATTAAATGACCATTTGCTGGTGAGTAGCAAAACCATGTTCTGCTCTCTTCTTTGTCATGTAGATAGGTGACCTTTAGATTTCCATCTTGGCATCAACTTCATCGATTCTTGTCGATTTTACTTCAAATAAAAGCAGGGCCTAATGTCTGAATACTTGATAATAGTAGACTAAGCAAAACCATGTGAAGCTTCATGTGCCAATGTCTCTCACCAGCAACCACCAAATTCTCCACCATTAAATTTGGATGTGAAACTTACCACTAACTTTGTATATATACACATACATAGAAAGTTTGTTTTATGCAAAACACAAGTCTCACTTGCTGTATATTACTCAAAATCCTTCATTCTTTTCCTTTTTAACTCATCATTTGAAGTTACAAAAGTATCTCACTATGGGTATCAAAATGAGTCCCCTTATTCAAGGTACTAAAATCTTGAGGAGGTTTTCTAATTCCGGAGGTGTTCCAAAAGGCCATTGTGCAGTATATGTAGGAGAGAGCCAGAAGAAGAGATTTGTCATGCCAATATCTTACTTGAGCCAACCTTTATTTCAAGACTTGTTAACTCAAGCTGAAGAACAGTTTGGGTTCGATCATCCAATGGGTGGTCTCACAATACCTTGCAAAGAGGACGTGTTTGTTGATCTCACATCCCGCTTGAGGAGATCATGAATTGTATCAAAGTGCCAATCTGTGCACATGAAATTTTGTAAAACAGTAGAACTTAGATTTTAGAAAGAGGAGATTTAGAGAGGAACTCTCACTGTATAGTTCAGAAACACAAGAATTTATAGAAGTTGTTTCCATAATCAATTTATGAATAACTGAAGTGCTGTTTCTTATAATCACTTTTTTGGTTATATTTGCTAAAACAAAACCATTATTTATTTAGAAATCTTCTGCTAAACAAATAATAGTTTGCACTGTGTGGTTCAAATTAGCACATCGAAGAAAGTATCACTTAGCAGAATAAGAATGAAGTTTGTGATAAGTAACAAGAAATTACATAGCGAAACGAAGTCATCAGCTTTATCTGTTCTTAAGGCTTTAAATTTTTTTACCAAGTTATGAGAAGCAATGGGGCCTAATATTTAACAAGTTTAGTGTCTAAATACTAGGATACTAATAGCACATCTTTACTTGTCTCGACTACTAAACTTTTGGATGTGAGACTTGCGATAAACTTATATACACACACACACGAAGTATTTGAGCAGAACACAGTGCAAAAAGCTTTCCTTTTTCTGTACATTTTTCAAGAAGAGGAATTTTAAGGATGTCTTTAGTTGTTCTAATATCATACTAATTGAGTCTGCCTTTAGATTTCAAGACTTGATAGCTCATATTGTTTTGTCACCTAATTGCTTCTGAAAATACCACAAAATGTTCACACTGGATGCTAACTTAATTAGAAGGCAAGCCCTGCAATACTTCAGCAAAGTCTGATTAGAACATACTAATGCATATACATAAAAGAAAGAATAGTTGATTGATTGATCTCCTTAGAGTCAAAACTTTCAAGCACTTAGACATTATTTGATCAAGGAGGTACTGCAGTAAGTGAAATCCTTGCAATAAACAAAGTGTTGTTAATCCAGGATTAGACTGTTAAGTCTTCTCATAACCAAATGTAAAAGTGAAAGCCGCAGATATGGTAAATTTTCTCTGATAAAATGACATTCAATGTGTATGATGTGCTTTACAACTGTGTTCTTCAGTATATGCCCTATCTAAAATCTATTTTGAGCTAGCATGTTGATTATGACTCAACAAACAAGAAGCTGTTGGTTTCCACTTTCTTGGTGCAAAGAAGAAGTCGAACAGCAAGATGAAGGAATTGAGAGGAACAATGCTTTGTGAAGATCTTCAGCAACTACGCCTTTCTTGATTAGTGAAATGATGTAGTCCATGAAGGCTGAATCACAAGGTAATGTAATAGGGCCACTACTCGGAAGCCCAAATTCTTCTTCAGACATGTTCAACAGCTGCCTAATGATCTCATTTTCAAGGTAAACCAATGGAATGACAAATCGAACTTGATCAGCTGCATATACTACAAAATGTCCCTTTTCAACTATAGACGATGAAGATGTACTACAACTATCTGCATCAGTACCATTTCTTGGAAATGAAATCCTCTTCCTTTGCATGGCTGCAAACTTCTGCCATTTCCTAGCCATTTTGATGAGTTTCTTGGTACTAATCATTGCCATTTTCTTTTCGGAAGATTGGAAACAAGAAATTTAGAGACCTTTGATGGCTGAATTGATAATGCCTGTGTTTGATGATGAAAAGGCTCTTGAAAGAGGGATTATTTATACAAGTTGAGCTGATGAGTTTGTTAGACAAAGTCATGTGCTGATGCCTGTTGGCCATGTTCATATGGGGCCTAAATTTTGTGGATGAAGGTAAGTTTGAAAATAAAAGAAGATAAGTCTCTTCCTTTCTTTTCTTTAATCAACTAGGCCTACTGGTAAGAGGCAAACCATGTTCTGCTCTCTTCTATGTCATGTAGATAGGTGACCTTCAGATTTCCATCTCAGCATCAACTTCATCGATGCTTGTGGAATTTATTTCAAATAAAAACAGGGCCTAATGTCGTTCTTCTACAAATTTATTGTCAGAATACTTGATAATAATAGAGTACGCAAAACCATGTGAAGCTTCATGTGCCATTGTCTCTCACCAGTGGCCACCAAATTCTCTTCACCATCCTTACCAGTTACCACTAACTTTGTATATATACACATACACAGAAAGCTTTTTATACAAGACACAAATCTCAACTGCTGTGTATTTCTCAAAGTCCTTTATTCTTTCTTTTAAGTCATCATTTGAAGTTACAAAAGTATCTCACCATGGGTATCAAAATGAGTCCCCTTATTCAAGGTACTAGAATCTTGAGGAGGTTTTCAAATTCCGGAGGTGTTCCCAAAGGACATTGTGCAGTATATGTAGGAGAGAGTCAGAAGAAGCGATTCATCGTGCCAATATCTTACTTGAGCCAGCCTTTATTTCAAGACTTGTTAACTCAATCTGAAGAACAGTTTGGCTTCGATCATCCAATGGGTGGTCTCACAATACCTTGCAAAGAGGACGTGTTCGTTGATCTCACTTCCCACTTGAGGAGATCATGAATTCTCCTGCACATGAAATTTTGTAAAGTAGTAGTAGGACTTAGATATTAGAAAGAGGAAAATTCACTGCATAGTTCAGAAACACAAGAATCAAGAAAACTATTCCATGATCAATTTATGAATAGCAAAAGTTCTAATTTTGATTAATCCTTTTTCATAATATTTGCTTAAATGATCAATTCCGTTGTTCTTTTTTAATCTTTATGCTGAACAAAGTAACTAAACACCTGTATGCAATACAAGAAAGTGTCATTTAGCAGAATAAGAATGACCTTTGCAATAACTCACTGGAAATTACACATCTGAGCAGAACACAATGTCCTTGATTCCAAGTCATGAGAAGCAACGAGGCCACCTACTATTGGTCTTCGAGAAATTTAACCGTTAAATCTCTGAATACTTCATTTTTTTCTTGACAGCTAAGCTATTTGATGTGAGACTTGCCATAAACTTACATATACAAAATATTTTAGCAGAACACAGTGCAAGAAGCTTTCCTTTTCTGTGTATTTCGTAAAAGTATTTGTTTCTTGTATTTTCTTAGATACAATCCTTCATATGCTACATGGACCTTCAGATGCACCGATCGATAGGAGCAACAGTATGATGATGGACAAGTTAGACCATATATCAGACAAAGTGCTCAAAATATTAACAATCTCTTGGAGCTGAGACAAATTTAACTGAGATTTTGAGAATGTACTAGTTCTAGACAACTCCTAATGTCACTTGAAAGAGAAAATTTTCAGTATTGGAATAAACGGACGATTAGAACATAATGAATAAAGATATGATTCATATAATTGAGGTTAAACAGTTTGGATTTGAGACATGGTTGTTATCATTAGTGTCAAGACTTCCATTTCAATCAAGGATTAGATTGTTAGGACTCCTAATAACCAAAGTGAAAAGTGAATGCCATGAATATGGTAAATTTTCTTGATTAAATAAGATTCAATCAGTATGATATGCTTTACAATTGTATACTCTTCAATCTCCGTCCTCTCTAATAACTATATTTTGAGCTAGTATGTACAGAAAGAATGTTGATCTTGATTCAATAAACAAGAATCTGCTGATTTCCACATTCTTGGTGCAAAGAAGAAGTTGAACAGCAAGATGAAGGAATTGATAGGAGCAATGCTTTGTGAAGATCTCCAGCCGCTACACCTTTCTTGATTAATGAAATGATATAGTCCATGAAGGCTGAATCACAAGGTAATGTAATAGGGCCACCACTCGGAAGCCCAAACTCTTCTTCAGACATTTTCAAGAGTTGCCTAATGATCTCATTTTCAAGGTAAACCAATGGAATGACAAAGCGTACTTGATCAACTGTGTATACTACAAAATGTCCTTTTTCAACTATAGATGATGAGGATGTACTGCAACTATCTGCATCACTGCCATTTCTTGGAAATGAAATCCTCTTCCTCTGCTTGGCTGCAAACTTCTGCCATTTCCTGGCCATTTTGATAAGTTTCTTGGTACTGATCATTGCCATTTTCTTTTCGGAAGATTGAAGACTTTTGATGGGTGAATTGATAATGCTTGTGCTTGATGATGAAAAGACTCATGATAGATGGATTATTTATACAAGAGGAGCTGATAAGTCTGTTAGGCAAAGCCATGTGTTGATGCCTGTTGGACATGTTGATATGGGGCCTAAAATTTGTGTATGAAGCTAAGTTTGAAAATAAAAGACGATAAGTTTAATTTCTTCCTTTCTTCTCTTTGATCAACTAGGCCTACATGGTATTTCTCACCAATGCCAATACTTTGAGACTATTAAATGAACAATTGCTGGTGAGAAGCAAAACCATGTTCTGCTCTCTTCTTTGTCATGTAGACAGGTGACCTTTAGATATCTATCTTGACATCAACTTCACTGGGGCATAGTGTTGTTCTTAACAAAGCCATGTGAAACTTCATGTGGCCATTAAATTTTGATATGAAGCTTACCACTAACTTTGTATATATACACAAATATAGAAATCATTTTATGCAAAACACAAGTCTCATTGTTGTGTGCTTCTCAAAATCCTTTGAACTCATCATTTGAGGTTAAAAAAGTATCTCACTATGGCTATCAAACTGAGTCCCCTTGTTCAAGGTACAAGACTCTTGAGGAGGTTTTCAAATTCCGGAGGTGTTCCCAAAGGTCATTGTGCAGTATATGTTGGAGAGAGTCAGAAGAAGAGATTCGTCGTGCCAATATCTTACTTGAGCCAGCCTTTATTTCAAGACTTGTTAACTCAAGCTGAAGAACAGTTTGGCTTCGATCATCCAATGGGTGGTCTCACAATACCTTGCAAAGAGGATGTGTTTGTTGATCTCACATCCCGCTTGAGGAGATGATGAATTGTATCAAAGTGCCAATCTTTGCACATGAAATTTTGTAAAACAGTAGAACTTAGATTTTAGAAAGAGGAGATTAGATAGGAACTCTCACTGTATAGTTCAGAAACACAAGAATCTATAGAAATTGTTTCCATGATCAATTTATGAATAGCAGAAGTGCTGTTTTAACAATCACTATTTTGGTTATATTTGCTAGAACAATGCCGTTATTCATTTAGATTTTTTCTGCTAAGTGGTGCAAACTAGCACATCGAAGAAAGTATCATTCAGCGGCATAAGAATGACATGACTTGTGATAAGTAAAAAGAAATTACGTAGGATGTCCTTGATTCCAAGTTATGAGAAGCAATGAGGCCTACCATTCAACAAGTTTAGTGTCTGTATACTTGGATAAACTTTTGGATGTGAGACATTCCATAAACTTATATATACACAGTGCAAAAAGTTTTCCTTTTTTCTGTGCATTTCTCAAGATTATGTGTTACTTGTTCATTCTTATATCATCAGTTAGAGTAAAGTATGTCTTTAGTTTTTCTAATATCAAACTTGAGTCTTCCTTTAGATTTCAAGACTTGTTAGCTCATATTGTTTTATCACCTAATTGCTTCTGAAGTCTGAAAATACCACAAAATGTTCACACAGGATGCTAACTTAGAAAACAAGCCCTGCGATACTTCAGATGCCGTTGTCTCTCATCTCTGCCACCCTAATGCAGATACTTCAGCAAAGCCTGATTGGAACATACTAATGCATACACATAGAAGGAGGCATAGTTGATTGATTGATCATTTAGACCTTGTTCGATCAAGGAGGTACCGCAGTTAGTGAAATGCTTGCAATACATAAGTGGTACCAATTCAGGAACCAAATGTAAAAGTGAAAACAGTGGATATAGTAAATTTTCTCTTATAAAATAATATTCAATCTGTATGATGTGCTTTACAATTGTGTTTCATTCTATGCCCTATCTAAGCTAGAATGTAATTTAAAAAAATTGTTGATTATGACTCAACAAACAAGAAGCTGTTGGTTTCCACTTTCTTGGTGCAAAGAAGAAGTTGAACAACAAGATGAAGGAATTGATAGGAGCAATGCTTTGTGAAGATCTCCTGCAGCTACGCCTTTTTTGATTAGTGAAATGATATAGTTCATGAAAGCTGAATCACAGGGTAATGTAATAGGGCCACCACTCGGTAGCCCAAATTCTTCTTCAGACAAGTTCAAGAGTTGCCTAATGACTTCATTTTCAAGGTAAGCCAATGGAATGACAAAGCGTGCTTGATCAGCTGTGTATACTACAAAATGTCCTTTTTCAACTATAGACGATGAAGACGTACTACAATCATCTGCATCACTGTCATTTCTTGGAAATGAAATCCTCTTCCTCTGCATGGCTGCAAACTTCTGCCATTTCCTAGCCATTTTGATGAGTTTCTTGGTACTAATCATTACCATTTTCTTTTCCAAAAGATTGAAAACAAGAAAGTAAATAACAAATTTAGAGACTTTTGATGGCTGAATTGATAATGCTTGTGCTTGATGATGAAAAGGCTCATGAAAGAGGGCTTATTTATACAAGAGAAGCTGATAAATATGTTAGGCAAAGCCATGTGCTGATCCCTGTTGGCTAAGTTTGAGAACAAAAGATGATAAGTTTCTTCCTTTCTTCTCTTTGATCAACAGCCGATTAGCTATGATATCAGCTCTATTTGCTACTTCCCACCAAACGCCAATAATTTGAAACCATCAAATGAGTTAGTACTGGTAAGAAGCAGAACCATGTTCTGCTCTCTTCTTTGTCATGTAGATAGGTGACCTTAACAAAACCATGATGCATTTTTTTTTCATTTTTCGCAGAATAACAACAAATAGGGCTATATAAACATACATGTAGTATTGTTTTCCACTAAACTATAAGTGTTTATCAAAGATCTTATAAGGCAATACCATGTGATACATCATATGGTATTGTCTTTTTTTTCACTTGTGCTCAACTTGAAAGAAGTTGACAAACTTCATTAATATTGTTTTGGATTCACTTGACATTGAAATCTTCTGAGATCATTTGGTATAAGGCACCAGTACATGTAGGGCATGTTGTATCAAACAATATGGTCAAAATTTATAAATACTTGACCATTCGATGACTTATCTGCTATCGAGTTCCTTAAATATCTTCTGTTCATTACTCTATAGCTACGATTATGCCATCTGAGCTCCTCGTATAACTCAATCTACTCGAGTCCTCAACAAGTTTTGGACACTAGGAGACGTTCCAAAAGGTCATTTTTTGTTGTCTATGTTGGTGAAAACCATAAGAACAGAAGTTCAATTTTGTTCCTTTTTTTCAACATTTGCTTAGTCAAGCTGAGGGAGAATTTGGTTTTGATCATCCGATAGAGGAACTCTTCATTTATCTCAATTCGCGCTTCATTAGGACACGAGAGGTGAAAAAAATCTGTGTTTTGGACAGCTCAACTTTCTAAAAAAACGTGAATTTTCAACAGAGCTGATGGAACACTGTCTGAAATCCGAATTCCTGAGGGAAAGTCTGTTGGAAACAGTTGTAACGAGTACAATTTTGACATATTTCCAATGAAAATGCAGGATGAAGAGTACAATTACGATGATTTTCAATGAAAGGACCATAAAAAATTCGTGTGTTTCTAGTAGTGCAAGTTATCACAACAACAAATGCAGAACCAAGATATAAGTTTTTGTAACATTATTTAGTCGTTACATCGTTCCATTTCATCGATAGATAGGTCAAGACAGCTCCATTTTTCATTGTCCAACGAACTATCTCTCTGCCATTGATATCAAAACTATGTTTACAATCATCAATATCCTCTCTGAGTCTTAACGCGATTAATTAAACAATTGTAAATTGAACTCACAACCTTTAAGTAGCAACATTAATGTGAAATGTTCATCATCAAGGCACAAATCGTTCACATTATATGACATGTAACGATTAAGAAATGTAAAATTGGAGGCATGATTTCATCAAAATTGACGTTTTTTCGTTGAATAATAGTGTATTATCCAATTGTGAATGGAGATCAAACATGTCCTCTTTTACTTGATTATGTACGATGCAAATTTGAATTAATCAAATCAATGTCAACAAAGGGAAATTGTCAAAAGACTTGGAATATACATAAATTCTAGAGTTCGAATTGTGAGAATGAAGAAATTTCTAGTAGGGAGCACGTCATTTGCGTTAATAAGTATTGAAAGAGACTTCTTCAATAAAAGAGACTTCTTCAATAAAGTTTGTAAGTGACTCCTTCAATAATAAGTTAAGTTATGTGAATTTGAATTAATTGTACTAGTGAGCATCAAATATCATATCTTTATATAAAAATAATAAAATTATAAAAGGGGATGCATTTTATTTTTTTCAATTCTTACTCACTATTTATGAAAATTATTCTAAATATAAAATTTGGACCACTTTGACATGATGTATGCTATTTCTTTGAAATCAATCCTAAAACCTAGCTACATGCTACAAAAAAAAATTGGACCACTTTGACCAGATTTATGCCATTTATTTGTCTATTTTAATTACAATCAAATAATTTCCTGACGTTGTTTGTAATTTCAATTTTTTTACTCTTATAAAGAAACGTTATTATAAAGAACAAATAATATAATATAATATAATATAATATAAAAGATCGATTCCATATAAATATGATTGTTACAGTGAAATATTGTTATAAAGAGGTTTGACGGTAAAAAAATAATAATGAAAAATTCCTATATATATATGTGTGTATTCTTAGCAACTTTCTCTTGACTTTCCCACTATTTAAATATGAAAAATGTTAACTCTTACCTTATATTATATTTATAATATATTAGACATGTATTCAAAACAAAGGATGCTTGAAATTATTTTTAAAATTAAATAATTTTGGGGTATCACCAGACTGAAAACGACAAATATCAAAGAGTCATAAAATTAAAAATCTGATAATAGCAATTATCAGTTTGTAAATTGCTTACTTTCTGATTACTAATTAATGATGAGATGATAGTAATTGTTTAAATGAAGAAGATAATTATAAGCAATATAATTAAACAAATTTTAGATTTATTATTATTCTTCATTTTCCTGCACATAAGCTAAATCTTAAAAGTCAATTCATAAGTGATAGTCGTACTGTTAATTCTGCTTATTAACGAAATTTAGCAATGCTAGCAAGAAAATTGAATATTTTTATTGGACATGATATCGCAAGTTAATTTAAATTAATTTTTGACACTTTTAAATGATTGACTTTATAGACATTGTTTATTCATTTTAGTTACATCAATCATGAGTATTCATAGATAAATAATGTTTCTTGGATATTATATACATTTAATTAGTACTTATTCACAATTATTAGTTAATAATACTAATAATAATTTTAGGATTACTTAATAATATCACATCCACAAAAATTAAAAAGGCTTTCCAAGACTCTACCAATGAAAGTTTAGTGGAATAATACTGTAGTATTTCTTCATTTTAATTAAACATCTCAAATTTTAATCCGGTCACGAATGAAGTTTTAAGGTTAAAACCTCACATAATAGATTTTTTATTGTACAAATTCAAATTAATCGGTCTAATAACTAATTTTAAAATATATCATACAATCAAATCTATTTATAACAGTTGACGTCTGCTAAATAAAACTTTCATATAACGACTTTAAATTTTTTTGAATCAATTATATTTTTTTTATAATAACGTCTTATTATAGCAGTTAAAAAATATCTAAACAAATGACTTAAGAAGTTAATAAACCAAATCTAACTTTTCAATAAATCACACCAATCAAAATCTAATGCCATATATTGGCATCCTAGTTGTCAAAGAATCTTGCAACTTTCTTTTCCATTTTCTATAATCCAAAATGACCCTTTCATTTTCCGTTTCTTCATCACAAAAACATCCATTAAAGCTAATTTGTTAAGGTCTATTGTCATTTCAACATTTTTTTTTTCTTCATATAATCATTAAAAAAAAATTCATCCAATTTAAAGATGGATTCTTTTTCAATAGAAAAAAGTACTTCCTATGATGAGGAAATCAAAATCAAAGATGAAGAAGAGATTATTACTTTCACTAATAATAATATTATTCAAGATCAAGAAAATACACAAAAGGGAAAACAATACATTGGAGTTCGAAAACGTCCATGGGGAAAATACGCAGCTGAAATTAGAGATTCAACGAGAAATGGAATTAGGGTTTGGCTTGGAACGTTTGATACTGCTGAAGAAGCTGCTTTAGCGTATGACCAAGCTGCACTCTCAATGCGTGGTCCTTCAACATGTCTTAATTTTCAAGTGGAGGTAGTTCAAGAATCGTTACGAGGATTTAATTATAATAGTCAAGAGGGTTCAACATCGTCTCCAGCTGAAATTATAAAGGAAAAACACAAGAAGAGAAATAGTAAAGGTAAAAAAACAATTAAATCTAATAAGGAACAAAACAATAGTAATGTATTGGTTCTTGAAGATTTAGGTCCTGATTTATTAGATGAACTTTTATCTAGTAAGTGTTCTACTTCTGAATAAATTTAAAATTTTTTTATTTATTTATTATATACTTAAAAGTTTTATTGTTTCCTATTTTTTAATTTTTTTCCCTAATACTTTTGGTGTGAATTCCTAATTATTCATCCGTTTATCGAAACCCTAATATCAATTTACCTGACTTACAGTTTAATGGTATCAATGATAGTTTTCTGATATAATAGATGTAAGTTCAATTTTCACAGTTTCTAAATTCTTTTTCCCCTTTTCTTTGATGATCCCTCATTTTGTAATAGAAGAAGATCATTTTTTTGTAAAATAAGATAAAAGAATATCAGTTAAATATTGATAAATATAAATATATACTTGTTTTAATTTGTTGCTAAATTGTTTATCATAGGTATTTTTTATTTTTTTTTGAGTTATTTGATAATTACTGTACATGTTCCAATCTTCTTCATTCAAGTGTTGTAACCAAATTTGAAGTTTTTGTGTTCCATCAGACATCTTCATATAAAATTAATTGGATCAGAGTAAATATTTTCTTGTTTTAATTATTTTCTCTTTTTTTCTTATTGGTTATTGTTGTCGGTCTTGTTCGTTCTGTTGAACTTGTGAGGGTCATTATCCTTTTTCTTGTTGTTTTTCATATTTTTCAAATTGTCTATTTTCAATGTAGGGTGAATCTACTGTATTGGTTAACCATTACATGTTCACTTGAACTCAGTAACTTCCGTTTTTATGCTTAATATGTAATTTGAGGTCCATTTTCCACATAATGTTAAAGTTAGAAGTAAAAAAGCTTCAAAAAAGGAAAGAGACATGTTTTGTTCAAACAAACTTAAAAGAAAAAGTAAAGAACAAACAAATAACTTTTAGAATCCAATTTGTGATCTTAAATTTATCATAATATATATTTGTGTGGCTATTATCAAACTATTTAAATTATGATTTTAAACATCTCATGTATATCACTTAAAAAACTTATGGTTTTATATAAAGCAAAAAACGAAAAAGAATCATTCTTTTGAAATAAATTAAAAAGAAATTGATTTGTTCGATTATTTGAAAAATAATCTTTCTCACAAAATAACTTTTTTTAAAATGTAAAAACTTCTCTAATGAAAATAGGGAAAACAAATCTCACAAGCGACGTTTCATATTTGATTTTGTTCTCCCCGCTCTTTAGTGCACCTCATTTTCACCTTCACCCTCGTAGTCCCGTCCTCCTGATCACCACCCTCATTACCTCTCATAATATTTCTCTAAATTATATATAAATATTTTTAAAATAATACATTTTTTTTATTTACATAACATACCAAACATACAAAAAATCACTTTTTTTTGGAAAATATTTTTCTGCTATGAAAACCATCTACCCTAATTTTAACCAGCTATAAAAAGGAAATAAAAGCATAATATTAGTTGTCGTATTTAATGGACGTTTATTTAAATTAGGGGAAAAAAGTACTTGTGGGGTATCTATCAGCCGACGGAAAAAGACAAAATCTCAAGTGTGAGGCTAATATTTAATTATTAAAGGACCAGATTAATTTTTTTCGTATTATTCTTTTTACTGAGTTAGAATTGAATTTATAAATTTAAAATTATTAAAAAAAATTATTGAGATTTTTATTAAGTGAACTTTTAATATTTATAATACGAAATTTATATCAAAATTACTGAATTCAGCGAAACTCGTATTTTTATTTGCAATCTTGAATTCATGGTTCATAAGATTCCTATTATTTTAATTTGTTAATTGTGACCTCATTGACCGCATCATCTTGGACCTTATGATGATCTCATCATGCTTTGGTAATAGTTTCAATGAACATTGCTTTTTTCTAAAAAAATAAAATAAATTAGAATAATTATTAGTTATATATGAATTGTTTTTTTTTTTGAATAAATAAATAAATTTAAAATGAGGTCCAAGTATATATGAAAAATGTTTTTGACTTGTTTTCTCACAAAGTTTTTATCTTCTTTTTTAAATGTTAAATACATGTTTAATTACAATTACAATTTCAATTTTCAAATATTATTTTTAAATTTGTTTAAGATATTACATTTTTTTAATGTCCAAACGTCTACTAAACACAACTTAATTCTTTATGCCAAAAAAACAATATAAATTGATTAGAAAAGTTAAAAGATACGTACCAACTATTTGTACGTTTTTAAATTTAATAACTTTAATAAATATCATAAGAATTACCTGTAATATGTTATTTTTATATATTAATAAATAAAAATATTGTACATTTCTATTGTTTAGTTGGACGTATTCGACGCTTATTGTATGGACCTGAATTATTTTATAGAGAAGCTAATGAAGTAGCTGATAGAGCCAACGGACCAGCTGGCGAAATAAAGATAAAAAATGAAGACTTTTGGGGAACACTATGCTATCACCTACTTTAATTTCTCCATTTATTTTCTAAAAAGACTTACATGGACCATTTTTTGTTCCTAGAAACGTGAAATATTCATACAAAGAACTCTTTGGATACTTTTAGAAAAGAAAAGGGAAAAACAACTTTAATTAGATAAGGATGTGGTTATTAAGAGGTTAGGTTTTTTTTTTTCCTCAAGAAGACATATTTTATAATATAAATTTATTAGCTATTATAAGATGTGACATTTCTCCGGATCAGTATTTGATTTGAAGTGTCATTAATATAATAGTCATATCCAAATAAAGGCGAAAAAGAAAGACTAGTAGTAGGATAATAAAATCAATTAATGTTATGGCCAAATGACATATGACCTCTAATTAATATTATCTCGAGTTTTGCGAATTTTTTTCGAATGAAATGACATGCCTAATTTTACGATTTTCTTGAATTAGCTAGGGCTCAAATAATGTTAAAATTGAAATAGATTTCTATCGATTCCAATTAATTATAATATATTTCAATAGTGTTTATTATTCTGTTAAAAGAAACAAAAAAAAATGGGGACATTTCTATTTAAATTTTGTTTCTATTAGGTTTAAATATTAATACACATGTTTTTAGTGGTGGAGAGTTGAGTGGTAGACAGCCAGACGATTTATATTAATAATAATTATAAAAAAAAAAATTATAATAAAACTAATAATTTATTAAGCAACCTCTTAATCATCCTAATCCAGCTTAAATCAAACAGTTATAGCAAGTAGATCATGATCAATTGCTAATTAATCCTTGTCCTAATCTTACTTATAGGCAAACAATATATATAACTTCTAAATCTAGTACAGATGCCACAGTATTAATCCAACTTGTCAAATAATTATCCCCACTTGTTCACTTATATTAAATTAATAATCCAATAATGGGGAATAACACATATGATAAAAAATATTTATATTATTTCTCACTCGACGTTCAGTACTCGTATTGCATTATGACTAATCCGAATTTAATATTTACATATTGCAAGCCTATTTTAGGGGACGATGCTTTCAACATGATTTATTCTCCATACCTAAAACTCGAATTCAAGACCTCTGAATCAACCATAAAATACGAATTCACACATGATCCCTATAACTTTCTAAAATCTTCAAATATCTATGAGCTAAGTTGTTCGAACTCTTTAAAATGTTGTCATATCTATGTAGGATTTTTCAAAAATACATTACTTTTGAAGGACTTGACAAGCCGATTACATTTTTGAAGAGTCCGAACAACCTAGTCTATAAGTATATATATGATGTTGAACTTAGGTATTATTGTATACCCCTCTGTCCCTAATTACTCCACTTTTGAATTGGCACACCTATTAAGAAAACATTTATTGACATAGTGAGTTTATCATTTTACCCCTATTAATTATGAAGTGCACGAATTAAAAACTTAAGATAATTAATTGAGGGTATAATTGATAAAAAGAAATTGTTCTTTCTTGATTTGTCAAAATGGACAAGTAATTAGAGACAACTAAAAAATGAAAAATGGACAAGTAATTAGAGACAGAGAAAATATTAATTTGAACGCCTTTGAAATTTAATTGATGGTGTGAAAAGTTCTTTCTATCGTCAGTCGGTGGTCGGTGTATATAATTTAAATATAATCTCTAAAGATATATTAATTAAGTTGATCCACTCATTTTTAGATCAATAAGGAGAGAGATCGAAGAAGAACACAAATATCTCCAACACAAAATGGATTTGAAGATAATTCAAGATGAGAAAATAACTTCTCATGAAGTTAAAGTTGAAGCTCAATCAAATGAAGAATTAGAAGTTAATCATAACTTCCATAATATACCAAAAAAGCCCCACAAGTTTATAGGTGTTCGAAAACGTCCTTGGGGAAAATATGCAGCTGAAATTAGGGATTCAACAAGGAACGGAATTAGGGTTTGGCTTGGAACATTTGATACTGCTGAAGAAGCTGCTTTGGCTTATGACCAAGCCGCGTTTTGCACAAGAGGTCCTTCAATTTACTTGAATTTTCCAGTGGAAAAAGTACGCGATTCGCTAACAAAAATGGAATGTAGCTTCTTGTTGCAAGATGGATTAATGTCACCAGCTGAAGCCCTAAAAGAAAAACACAAGAAGAGATCAAGAAAAATGAAAAATGTTAAAGAAGAAGAAAATGTGTTGATATTTGAAGATTTAGGTGCTGATTTGTTAGATGAATTATTATCTAAGTACTCTTCAAGTTCAAATTAATCTACATATTTCTACATGTGTAAGTACATCTAGTAAATGTCAAAAAATAAATAAAAATTGAATGTATGTTCCTTGTTCATGCTTTTGATCTATTTTTCTTTTTATTGTTTTTTTCAACATAATTGAAATGATACAGAGAAGATTAGAATATTCTATGCAAATATGACATGTACAAATCGATTGAGAAATGAAGTTGAACACATTATGAGAAATGTTGAAGGGGGCTGGGTTATAGATCAAATGAGATGTGAAAATTCTTATCTCAAACTTATTTGGAATTAACCCTAGAGAGTGCTACTTGTTCTCTTTCTTTTCTTGTTTTACGCTCCGGTAGATGAATTCAAAATTCTAAATATGATATTTGGATTTTCAC